GTCTGTCTATCTATCTATCTATCTATCTATCTATCTATCTATCTATCCATCTGTCTATCTGTCTGTCTGTCTGTCTATCTATCTGTCTGTCTGTCTGTCTGTCAGTCATTTTATCGTTCCATCGTTCTACCATTATGTCGTTCTATCTGTCTATCTATCTAGTATTTATCCAATATCTTTTGCCAACATGCTGATATTCAAAAGGGAAATAATTGATACACAAGATGCTTTAGTGATATAAATGTTGTTTAACCTGTTTGCCAGCACCTGCTCCTGGCGCCATCTGATGTTGCAGGGTGGGGTACATTTATCAAAGAGCCAGTCCAGAAGAATGAGTTAATCTCTGAGTACTGTGGAGAGGTGTGTGGAAATCACACACACCCCTGATGATGAGCACTAGCTGTTGTGATTTTTATGAAAGTTGTGTTCTTAGTGATCTGATAAATGCATTGTGTGTGTGTGTGTGTGTGTGTAGCTTATTTCCCAGGATGAAGCAGACAGGAGGGGTAGAATTTATGACAAGTACATGTCCAGTTTTCTGTTCAACTTGAACAATGGTATCGGCTTCACTCATTCTATTCTATTCTATTCTATTCTATTCTGTTCTGTTTTGTTCTATTCTAGTTGTCTTTTAGATGTCAATTTGGTATTTTTAAAATAGTGTTTTTATATCATTCCAGACTTTGTAGTGGATGCTACTCGAAAAGGGAATAAAATACGATTCGCCAACCACTCCGTCAACCCCAATTGTTACGCAAAAGGTACTTTATTTCATCACATAAATATCAAAGAACTTTGTGTTGAAGCTATTAAGCACGTTGGTGTGGTGTTGGTTATTATTACAGTCGTCATGGTTAATGGTGATCACCGCATTGGAATCTTTGCTAAGCGAGCTATACAGCGAGGAGAAGAGCTCTTTTTTGACTACAGGTATGTTTTGTTTGTTTCAGCAATACCGTTACATCACAAATAGACACTCATATATGCAGTTTCATTTCATTTTGTGGTGTCATTTTATTTTTCCTGCTTCTTAGATACAGTCAAGCGGATGCATTGAAGTATGTGGGTATTGAGAGGGAAATCGACATTGAGTAGACACACTTTTCTTGAGTGTGTCCTCATTTACCTGGTAACATTTTTGCCTACCCACAATGCTTTGCACTTCACTGACATCACAGATTGATTTGATGATGCAGTCAGATGGTGATGTCACTACCTTAACCTGTGGTTTAATTGACTTGTCTGAACAAGCGTTTTTGTTTACTTCTTTGAGATAATGTTTGTGATGACCTAAAGAAACCAAAAGGTGTCCTCAGATTTACAAATCCACTCCTCCACATTTGCACTATATGGCCAATAACACAGGATATTGATAGACGGCACCATTTTCTCTGTCATGGAAGGAAAAATGAAAGTTCAGACAACTGTCATGAAGTTTTTTTTTATTTTTTTATCCTATCTCTCCATTCATTAGGCTCTGTAAACAGCTTTTGAAATAGCTATAACCTCTATATCAGGGATCCTCAAATCTGGCCCACGGGATCCACTTTCCTGCAGAGTTTAGCTCTAACCCTAATCAAACACACCTGAGCATGCTAATCAATATCTTCAGGATCATTAGAAAATCACAGGTAGGTGAGTTTGATTAGGGTTGGAGCTAAACTCTGCAGTGCATTGGCCCTCCAGGGCAAGATTTGAGGAACCCTGCTCTATATGCTCAATATATATACTGTAACTGCAAACTGAATGCATCACACTTAGCCGTCGTTGTTTCTGGTCAAAATATTCTGTTGTGCAAAACATCAAGCAATATTTCATAGTTACATTTGCACTTATAGTCAGTCAGGTCAGTATCTTCTCTCTTTAGAACAAACTTCAGTAAACTCGTCTGCAACCTGGTGTCATTTGATGTTAACCTGTTACTGTAATGTGCACATCTATCTATCTATCTATCTCAGCTGTAAGCTGCTTGCTGTATTGCACAAAGCTGGCTCATGTTGTCAGAGATTAGCATTCTAGCTAACATAGCACTAAGGCAGTTAATCTTCATCTCTGCGTAAACTGTATGAGGTCAAATATTGTTAATGTTCTGTAGAAATAAACAAAACAAGTAACCATATAAACCGGCAGACTGAATGTGAACTGTGAGCTAAAGAGTGACTTAAATTACATTGTTTAGTAGACTTTTTAAAGAGTGAACAAAAGAGTGTACAAAATAGGCCTAACAAGGGTTAGGGTTTGGGTTTCACTGTCATATGTTACATTTTATGTAAAATAAAGAACTAAACCAAATGATCATATTTGTTTAACATGCCCTAGAATCGTAACTGCATTTCATATGCCCACTAAATACAAATATGGGCAATAATTTTGAAAAGCTGAAAAAAAAAAAATTCCTAGTGTCTTGTAAAATACTGTAGTTACATTTTTATCTGAAATATTTTTTTATCCCAAAACACTGAGCTTTCTGAAAAAGGCAAGTGTAATTGGATTTCCAGATGCATTTAAAAGCAGGTATATCTGTTGGATACACTTTAACTCTATCAGACATGAATTTTGTCATATGACAAAAACAAGATATGCACATATCTGGAATCCATTATAGAAAGAGTCCTCAGAGTTTGTCTTTCCTTCAGGCTTCTTTTATTAAAGCGTCATTAGGGATTTGTGTTGATTCTACACAGTCATGGTCATTTACAATGAGGCTGAAACAAACAAAACCAGAACTAAAGAATTAGGAAAACTCAAAATGAACACCTTGTCACACCTGACCACAAACCTGAAATTACCTGCTTGTAAGAGGATACCATTATTTTGTCCGATTCCATGAAACTAGTTCAACTTTAACTTTTGAGATTTTCATGGGAATTATTTTGGCAAATGCTTTGCATTCACAGGACCTACAGTTCCCCTGAATCAACCTCAAGAGCACAGTGGTAATAAAAGATCATTGAGATCACAATGATAACAAAGAATGTACGCAGTATTCATTTACCCTCAGCAGATGCAGTTTACTGTACCGTTCAAAGGTTTGGGGTGTACAATTTTTTTATGTTTTGAAATTAAGTCTCATGCTCACCAAGGCTGCATTAATTTGACCAAAACATCAGTAAATACAGTGAAATATTATACTCTCAGAAAAAAGGTACAAAGCTGTCATGGCAAAAGCTAAAAGGTACATCTTTGTACCGTATTTACCACTAAATAATGGATATTAGTACCTTAAAGATACATATTAGCACATAACATGTTATTACCTACTGTGTGTGTGTATATATATATATATATTTACTTAACTGTCACTTTTGATAAAATTAATGCAGCCTTGAAAAAAATCTTATTGACCCCATACCTTTAAAGGGTATTTTACCTAAATGGTATGTTTGCACCGAGTACAAATAGTAACAAATAGCATCTTGTTTACAGTGCAAATAGTGATAGATGCTACTTAAAAAAAGTGTTTAAAAAAATGAAAAGAAATACAAAATCAATGTTATTTGCACTATGGATAAATTGCCTGAGAAACAGTGGGTTAGGTTCATGAAATAGCCACTGTTAAGAAAGTTGGCTGTTTGCACAAAAGATACATACAGCTACTATTGTCACTGACATGACAGTCAGAGTGGAATTCTTAAAGTTTATCCACAAGATAAATGGCCTACAAGATTTCAGATTTGTTCAAATAGGACTTGAATTAAATATGTAGTGCATTTGGAAAAGATGAAGAAAATACTTCACAGTGAATTAGTGCGTTTATACAGTATGTACATGAAAAAATGCATTAAATGTAAAATGAAAAAAAGACAATTCCCTACAAAACAGAGGTGAAGGTCGCGTATTAAGTAATACATTTCTTCAAATGAAACAAATGGACCTCCATGTGCCGATAAGTGATGTTGTTTTCTTCAAACATTCAGTCAAATGTATGTCAATGAGGTAACTCTCCTATTAGCTGCAGTATTAACACAGACGACACACAATACCTCATTTATACAAACATACATAACACGAGATAGTGCTGAATACCAGCCCTCAATCACTGTCATTTACACTGTCCGCTCGCTTCTCATTTCACATTAACATTCATTTGGAACAGACTGTGGGTTATATTTACTTTTGTCTGAGCATTACCAAACGTTGGTGTTGGTGTTCAATCATTTAAACTGACTGTATAGTTTTTAAAGAAAATGTCAAGTAGGAAGAGACTCTTGAGAGGTGTTTGTCCCTGTTAAATTTAATATTTCTTTACAGTAGCATTTCATTCTTCATTCAAGACACTCTTCAAAGTAAAAATCAATTGAAAGTCCACATTCCACTGGTTTAGAGGACGATAGAAGGGAAGAAGTAAAAGAATGAGGGATACATAAAACAAAAGAATAAAAACAAAACCTGGCAGAGGTCATGAGGTTAAAGCTGGACTTAGTCATTCAGTACTCACCTATTCAAAATACTCTCACATGCCTTCCTTTTTTGTACAAATTCGAATGATAAAAAGAGAAGTACACTTTATTTATACATATACATAAACAGCATAATCTGTGGGTGAATATTATGTGATCTCTTTGATAAAAGCTCTTATGGCTCTGTTAAAGAAACAGACTAAAGAACATGTGCCTGGCACTGGAAGCAGCGGATTCTTCTTTTTCGTATTGCATTTCGATGAAAAGTGCAGTAGTCATGCAAAATGCATAGCTTCTAAAGATGTGTTCTACCTTATTTGCTCTTTTGTTTTAATAGCTCATTTTACATCTGGAAAGATGATGGAAGTGCTCTAAGCTCTTGGTAAGACCGCCATCAAAACAGCTAAGAAGCAGCAGCAGCAGCAGCAGCAATAATGGTGTCCTACAGCAAACACATGAATGAATGTATAAAAACCATGACTTTATACATGGGAGTCTTTCATCCACAGACCGTCTGTGATGTGTGAAAGCCTCTTGACCTCGATAATCAGACTTGTGCTGAACTGCTCAGTGTTTCATGCCAAGAAAGCTTTCATATGTGACCTCATGTAAAAATATCAGCTGCTTTATGATTATTTCTGTCCTAAATCTACCTGTAACAAACCACCATAACACATTAAGTTTGCTGTTCCTCTAATATTCTAAAGATGCAATTTTAGTATTTCTGTTATTGTTGATCCTTTTTCTGATCAATATGTAGATTATAGGCTCCACAATTACAAGTGAACACATTCAGCCCGCAGAAGCTCCACACTATAAAAAGTGCAGACTGTCTAAAACAGTGTTTCCCAAACAGTTTTTTTCTTATGTAGCCAATAGACCCATCAATAAAGCAAAATTACCCCATCATCACTTATAAATTAATTAATGATGTCATTTTAAAAGAAAAACCTGAATTATGGACGAAAAACACCACAAAAATATAAAACTTGCACACATTACAAATTTTTTTTCTCCTTAAAAATTAACTGAAAAAAGATATTCCAATAAGTTTATATCTATATTTGACATCCTTGTTGGGAATCACTGGTCTAAAACGCTTCATCATCAATCACGTGACATGAATACGATGTAGACTGAACAGAAGTATGAAGTATGCTTTGGCCCACAGGAAGAACTCTCTTGAAAAGACGAGCTTCAACTACAAACACTGATCTGTGGCATCATTATAATCAGACACACTCTCAAACACAACACAGTTTTTTACCTGCCCTCATTCATGTACTGTTAGGTTTGTATAAACTGAAACTTTATTTCAGAGTCAAAAAGTCTAGAGAACGGCTTGAAAAGGCTGGTGTGTGTTGCTGGAGCAGCAGTGAGAAGAACATGTAGCTCTCTATGCCATGCCGTTACCAACCCTGAGACATACAGTACAACACAACTGGGCTTTAGTCAAGAAACATTTCTATGTAAATCTTTCATGGAGCTAAAATTCCTTCTGCTTGTTTCATGAGGCCTACGGTGTGGTTTTTACAAAAAATCTCCTAATCTTTATGAATCTTATACCACATAATGCTGTTCACAAGCAAGATGTAATATGGCTACTATCACAAAAACACCTTTCTGCAGTTTTTGATATGCCACAGAAATAATATTTCCCCAGAGACATTATTGTTCAGCGCATTAATGTCATTGTGCTCTAAAGAAGCTGAAGCCATTCGATGCCATTGACTCTTCATCTCTTATACGCGCTGCAACCAATTTTAGACAGTAGTAAAACACACATATGTGACCCTGGACCACAAAACCAGTCATAAGGGTCAATAAATCTCGAAATTGAGATTTATACATCATGTGAAAGCTGAATAAATAAGCTTTCCATTGACATATGGTTTGTTAGGACAGGACATTGTTTGGCCGAGATACAACTATTTGAATATCAGGAATCTGAGAGTGATAAAAAAAAATCAAAATATTGAGAAAATCGCCTTTAAAGTTGTCCAAATGAAGTTCTTAGCAATGCATATTACTAATCAAAAATTAAGTTTTAATATATTTACGGTAGGAAATTTACAAAATATCTTCATGGAACATGATCTTTACTTAATATCCTAATAATTTTTGACATAACAGAAAAATCTATAATTTTGACCCAAACAATGTATTGTTGGCTATTGCTACAAATATACCCCAGCGACTTAAGACTGGTTTTGTGCTCCAGGGTCACATATAAATACTTATATACCATTAGCTATGTCTGAGCTAAATCCTCCATACGTTAATGAAGTTTCAGTGATGTTAAAACAGATCACATTTTCCAAGCACTGTACTCTGAAGGTTGTTGTTGTGCATTTTGTGTGGATTCGCTCATGAACACAACAACATGGCTATCGAACACACTACTTCTGCCAGTACACACAATAATGAGCCAAAACTTTCACTTAGTATATACAGGGTTCCCACACCCTTACACCAATTCATTTTCAATTTTTCCAGTAATTTATGATTTTTTTTTTTTTAAATAATACAGATTTGTATTACAGTATACTGTTTATTTTATGGGCATAACTAAAAAGATTTATTCTGACTACAGGAATTTCGTCTTTTCAAGATGTTTTTATCCATTTTAATTTTTCTGGTTTCCCAGCCAATTGTGATTAAAAAAAGAGATTTTGAAAATGTTTTTATTGAGATTGCATTCACAAAAAGTGAACTTGTAACCAATAAAATATTTTTGAGATGGGCATAACTACAACGATTTATATTACAGACTACAGAAATTAACGTGAATTAAGATTTTATTCATTTTCACAACTTTTCCAGTTGTTTATGATATTTAAAAATAATAATGATTTTGTAAAAACAATTTCCACACAAAAATCTTAATTTCTAACCAATAAAATATCATTGTGATGGTCATGACTATATAAATATATATTTACAACACGCATTTCCAAGACTTTTCCATGATTGTAATCATTTCCAATACTGTTTTCTAGGCCTGGAAATCACAGTTCTTAAATACCCTGATATTTCCTGATATCTCTATGAACGTGGGAACCCTGGATCGATCTTTCAAAGTTTCTTGTAATGTTGCTGAGGCACTTCAGTCGGCCTGCACTGCTAGTGCTCATTGATCAGATGGTAAATTGTCTCTAGCCTGCTTATTTTGAACCCTGCCAAAAGCACCAAATATCAGATTACACTGTACAAATAATGGGACAGAAAAATAAATATAGTTACATTACCATAAAGGCAAAAGATACATAAAAAAAAATCACATTTGCAACTAATTCCTCAGTCTTCACCATTTACCTCCCTCATTATCACCAGCACTCCTCTCTTTTCCTCCAGACATCACTCAGTCTGTGTTATTCATTGGGACTTTCCTCCTGTATTTCCGGCAGGTTCTTTCTATCCTTGCGCAGAGTATCGGTGAGGGGCCGAGCAGAGCTGGGAGACTCCAGCTGCTTCGGTTCATTAGTGTGGTAACTGCCTTTATACCTGTACAGGTAAATGTAGAGGCCGTACAGGATCAGGAAGAGCAGCATCAGAGACACTGTCACGATTACTGTGGAGAAAATGACACAAAGAGAGAGAGAGAGAGAGCAGTTGTTAGCATTAAGCTTAATACTCTTACGGTGCTCTAGTTGAGCCGTCTGCAAATGATGGCTTAAACATAATTTGTATCATGTTGCAGAATTGACAGAAGAGACTGCTGACTGTCAGCTCAAATGTACTCATAAGCTTTAAAGGGATAGTTCACCCAAAAATTTACATTTTCGGCATAATTTACTTACTCTCGTGGTGTTCCAAACCTGTATACTGTCATATTTTTCTGTGAAACACAAATAGAGAATTTTCATGCAACCAAACTGATATGGATTATTTTTATGATTACCAAAGTTCACTTTGAGGTGGTCACTATTGTTATTATGGAAAAGAGCAGCATAAAGATTATTTGTGTTCCACAAAATAACAGTATACAGGTTTGGAACAACATGAGAGTCAGCAAATGATGACAGAATGTTCATTTTTGGGAGAATTGTTGGTAAGGAGGATTAAGTGTGTGTGTGTGTGTGTAGGAGAAACAAGTCTTGTTTATCCTGGAAAAGAGATGACAATCAGACAGTTAGAAAAAAAAGAGGATTTGAGAGAAGCAATGATGGATAATTGCAAATGACGAGCAAGGATTCTGAGAAATCTCTTTAGGAAAATGTAAGTGTTCAGTTTGAAAAAGGGTCTTGTATTGTTTTGATGAGTCTTTAATTTTTAAATGATCTCATTAGTATTATAATAGAAGAAAAAATAATAATAAAAAATAATTTAACAGATTAATGTAACAGTGACATATTTTGAAATATGGTCATTTGTAAAGATCTGACGCTTATTACACCTTGATTTATTCCACATACAGTATATTATCCTTATATGACGTTTTATCACTGATTATACCAAGTTTCTGTCAACGTGCAGAAGATCGTCTTTATGCAGAAGTTTATATTCCCATGAATGTTCCCTAATCCTGTGTTCGGCAAATTAAGAGGATTTTAAAAACAGGTTTTAGCAGCATCACAAACAGAGAAGATCAGCATGATTTGCAGGTCTGGCTGAAATGCTGAATAGGAATAAAAGACAAGGAAAAGCAAGAAGAACAGAATACATTAGTATAAATACATTTTAAAAATTGTTTTGGGGGGATTTTTGTCACTTTTATTAGGAGGATGGTGGAAATCTGACAGGAATTTAAAAATTGTGCTATATATGCTTTAAAACAAGATAATAAAATGAGTGTGACTGTAAACTTACGTGTCATCCAAAATCTCTTTAGGAAAATGTAAGTGTTCAGTTTGAAAAAGGGTCTTGTATTGTTTTGATGAGTCTTTAATTTTTAAATGATCTCATTAGTATTATAATAGAAGAAAAAATAATAATAAAAAATAATTTAACAGATTAATGTAACAGTGACATATTTTGAAATATGGTCATTTGTAAAGATCTGACGCTTATTACACCTTGATTTATTCCACATACAGTATATTATCCTTATATGACGTTTTATCACTGATTATACCAAGTTTCTGTCAACGTGCAGAAGATCGTCTTTATGCAGAAGTTTATATTCCCATGAATGTTCCCTAATCCTGTGTTCGGCAAATTAAGAGGATTTTAAAAACAGGTTTTAGCAGCATCACAAACAGAGAAGATCAGCATGATTTGCAGGTCTGGCTGAAATGCTGAATAGGAATAAAAGACAAGGAAAAGCAAGAAGAACAGAATACATTAGTATAAATACATTTTAAAAATTGTTTTGGGGGGATTTTTGTCACTTTTATTAGGAGGATGGTGGAAATCTGACAGGAATTTAAAAATTGTGCTATATATGCTTTAAAACAAGATAATAAAATGAGTGTGACTGTAAACTTACGTGTCATCCAAGGTGGGGTAACATCATCATGAATGTAATAAAAGACTAAAAAGAAAAAAAAAACATTGAGGGTTAAAAACAACTTTTAATCACAGTGTAAAGTACAATAATCATATACTATAAGAGTAAAATAAATACATTTGTTTAAAACAAATCCTTTTACAGTACATACACTAATAACTTGCTCAAAAGTAATAAAAGTAAATACATTGGACCATATCTTTGTGATATAGTCCGATTTACTTTACTTCACCCTGCACTTATTTACTTTCACTACCATTCAAATGTTTTGAGGTCAGATTTTAAATGTTTGTGAAATAATTATTTTACGCTGACCAGGCTGCATTTATCTGATCACAAAATTTACAGTAAAAAAAAAAAAAATATGCATCAGCAGCCATTACTCTTCCATTCTTCAGTGTCACATGATTCTACAAAATCATGCTTGCTTGCTCCTCAAAAAAAGGTGTTAATATCATAATTGAAAACAGTTGTGCTGCTTAATATTTTTGTGGAACCTTTTAATACATTTTTTCAGGATTCTTTGATGAGTAGAATGTTAAAAAGAACAGCATTTATTTGAAATAGAAATCTTTTGCAACATTATAAATGTTTTTACTGTCACTTTTTATCAATTTGATGTATCCTTTCAGAATAAAAGTATTAATTTCTTTCCAAAAAAAAAAACAAAAAAACATTTGAACCGTAGTGTATGTTAGAAGGCAATCATGCGAATGTCAGGATATGTAGTCTTACACAGGCCAGTGAACCAGGGGTCATCCTCCCAAGGGACATATCCTAAAACAGGGGGAAACGCCCCACAGTTAGACTCCACCACATAGCCTTGAGTCGTCACCGGTGGATTGGTTACATTGGGTCGGAAGTAAGCCTTCAGCGGGGCAAAAATATTATATCGGACCCCTGATATACAGCCCATAAAACCTGGACTGTTGTGCCTCTGAATTTCGTAGTCGACACCTCCCACCTCTATGAAGAAGAAAAGAAATCAGATATTAAATGCAACTTTCCATCCACAGGCAACAAGTTAAGATAAATATGCTCGTCTTACCCATGACTCTACCCAAGAATATAGACTTTGGTGAATCAAATCTGGGAATCTCTCCTGGTATTAACTTTTCAATCCATGGATCCATGTAATCCACCTAGATCCAGGTGCAAATACACACACAAACAGTGCACTTTTGCTATGCTAATAACTCTAGATCTAGTTTGATCTAGTTTGAGATCCTACCTGTGTCCATATGGTGTAGTTGTGTCGGGTGATGTTGACGAAATGAGGGAAGCCGTCGGCCATGTTTCTGTCAGTCAACTTAAATTTGTAGCTTATTATCCCAAGCCGATATCTCAGCGAAAGAGTCCCTGCAAAGGTGGTGACATCAGTGCTAAAGCTAATCTTTTGTATGCTTCGGTGTGATTGTGTGTGTGTATTTACCATCTTTCTTGAGCAGGACAGCAATGTAATCATTGCTGAAGGAGCTGATATAAAGCAGCACCGCTGGTGCCTGTAGAGTGCTGAAGCTGAACTCTATGTCATCAGTTGTCGTGTTGTAGCCGAGGGTGAAGTTGTGCCAGTGAGGCTCTATCCAAAAGTTCGCCCACCATGCGTCAAAGGAAATCGGCTCTTTGCGGATGTCATACCGCAACCACGCTCCCACATCAAAGAATGCCCCAATATCTAAAAGGATGTGACACAAGCAGAGATCACAGTGTTGTTTATGTCAGGTCATGTCTCACAGACAATCCTCACACATGCTGATGTAACTAGCTTTTAGAAAAAAAAATGGACATGATAGAGAAAGTTCATCATAATAACACGTCTTTAGAAAAGAATAGACTTGTAACAATTTGTATAATATTTTAGTACAAGAAATTAGTATTAAGTTTGTATACCTGTGTGGGATTTAAATCGTAATATCATGGCTGTCAAGTGATTTAATAGCAATCAATATAAAATATGTTTGTGTTTTTCAGTTCCTTTTCAAAAAGAAAAAAATAGAGAAACATTAAATATATGCAATCACATTGTTACGAATCCTGTCCATGGACTACCGTCCGATTGCCACCAGAGGTCACCCTTTCCGATTACATTGACTCTCACACTACACAAACTGTTACACGTCACCCTGGACTACATTTCCCATGCTCCATTGCACTAATCACAAGCTCACCTGAAACCAATCACACACACTACATAAGCCACACTCAAACCATTACAGACTGCCGAGTATTGTGTGTGATTGGTTTCAGGTGAGCTTGTGATGTAGTCCAGGGTGACGTGTAACAGTTTGTGTAGTGTGAGAGTCAATGTAATCGGAAAGGGTGACCTCTGGTGGCAATCGGACGGAAGTCCATGGACAGGATTCATGACACACATACACAACCATATTTCTAAAATCTTAAGAAAAAAAAAATCCAGTCCTTGAATCTGACTGCTCGAGTAGCATTGCAATTAAAAAATATTAGGATTTTTTTTTTTAATCTGTGTTTGTCAGGTCCATATTTTACAGCGACTCTTTCTGAAAGTTACATAGTTACACCAGTAGGTGGAGACAATTGAATGTCTTTATGAGTGAGTCATTTAAATGATTCACTTAATCAGTTTATTCAAAACGCAGATTCATTCAGAAACAAAACAAGTGACAGGCTGAATTCAGAACTGAAATAGTAAGAGTAATTTGTTAGTATGTTGTTCCAAACTCGGTCCTGAGTCGTTGAATCATTTACTCAACCAGTTTGTTCAAAAACACTGATTTATTTGGCAACAAAACAAGTGACTGGCTGCATCCAAAATCACATACTCTCTCAGGAGGTACATCTTCTGAATAAGTACTTACTTTGTGTCTGAAAGTATGTTCTATATAGTATAAATGTATGTAGAATGAAAATAATTTGGATCTACTACATTCAACATGTTGTTATTGTCATATGACCTTCCAGCATCAGTTGTATCGCTACATAGCCGGTTACAAAACATCAACTGTGGCCTCATGGGATAGATAAGTGTCCACTGGACAATAGTAGGTAATCTGAGTAATGGGTAATTTGTGCTACAGTTTTATGAATACTATGCAAATTGTATGCAGCTACTGTTTTAAGAGATATTGAATCATTTAACTCAACTGATTTGTTCAAAATATTCTGTATAATAAGGTCCCCACAATAACATTTGTATTGATGATATTTAATTTGTTGTGTAAAGAATCAAATTTTCTATTAACTGACAAATGGGTGCTTAATTATTTAACTGCATCTTAACTCATTTAACTTTGACAGCTCTACTAATTTATTGTAGATTTAATTATATTCCTGTAGCAAGATACTGTATATATATTTATGACTTAAATCATGAGCACATTATGAATCCTGTAGTTGAGTGTATTAAGATTTATCTGTAGCAAGATACTGTATATATATTTATGACTTAAATCATGAGCACATTATGAATCCTGTAGTTGAGTGTATTAAGATTTATCTGTAGCAAGATACTGTATATATATTTATGACTTAAATCATGAGCACATTATGAATCCTGTAGTTGAGTGTATTAAGATTTATCTGTAGCAAGATACTGTATATATATTTATGACTTAAATCATGAGCACATTATGAATCCTGTAGGTGAGTGTATTAAGATTTATTGAGAAAAAAAAATACAATTAAGCTCAAAGACAAAGATCTTAAATATTCCCACACAGATTATCAAAAAACGCAGTTCAATTCACGGAACAGACAAATCCCTCTCTGTTAGTCTGGATTTAGATGCTTAAAATGGAAAGTGGACACAAACGCCAAAGTCTGTCACTCTCTTTTTCAGGCAGTGAATCTTTCTTTAACAGATTCTCAGAGGCACCAGTTTGCTTGTTGCTCTAATTTTTTATCCTTCACTTGAATCAGTTTTAATCCTTTAAATCTCCTAATCACGGTTTCATGAAATTAAAATGCGTTTGTAATAATTAGTCTTTCCCCAGATGAAGATGAAAAGATATCATTTCAAATTTGCATGTTTATTAGGAAACAGCTGTTTTGCGTCATGTCAATTTGTGCCAGCATAAGTGTGAGAGAGCATATGCAAATGTGTGTTAACTCACCTAAATGACAGTAATAGCCGTCGAAGGCTGTGTTATTGCAGTCACAGGCGTATGAAGCGTAGCCATCAATGCACTGGCCTCCGTTTCGACACGGTATGGAGGCATTAAGACACGCTCCGGTGCAGTTTCTACGTATGCCAGCCCTCTCGTCAACCTTACCCTCCAAATCCACAGGCACCCCGTTCATCCTCAGCCCACGCAGACAACCCAGAAAAGGCCTTAAGGTGTGATTGGCCGCCCCTGAATAAAGATACATGGTATCAACTGCTTAAAGCAATGTTTTCATATCACATGACTCTGCTTGAAACTCCAGCTCTATAATTCTTACCTACGAGCAGGGGTTGCGTGAACTCCATAGTGATGTAGGTTTGGCCCGGAAACTTGTGAATGGCCGGAGGCAGGAAATCAACCTTGAGACGTGCCAATTTCACATTGATTTCAGCTTCTACATAGTGCCATTCATTATCATTGAGAGGTTTAGGAGAGCGCAGGGTCACGTTTCTAATCCCATCACCCACCATGAAGATGAAAACCACCTCAGTTGTAGCTGTGAAAATTTAAGCAGAAACTGCTGAAGGAGACATCAGAATCAGTAGATATACAGCATATATTTTTAGGATTTACAATGGGAATTACAGTTACTCTGCCATGGAAACAACACTCACAATTGAGTTCAATTCGTAAGAAATTACGCAGGTGGTCATCTGAGCTTTCCACAAACACTCCGTTAGTTCGGTAGGTCCTGAAGTGGAACGTGATGTCAGCACTGATGCCGGGCTTGAAGGTGGGGAACGTCAGATAGGTGGGCTTGGTGAAAGCTATAGTGCTCCAGATACTCCCTAAGAGAAGGATTTCCCCAATAACAAATCAGTGCAAATATACAGTAGAATTACTCAAATCAACATTTTATGCTAATTACTTTCGTTATTTGGTAATTATATGTGTGTTAATGAGGATCATGTTCAGTCAACCATCAAAATAAACCCCTATCGGGTCATTTAAAGCTGCTTTGCTTTGTGTTTATTTTGTGATACATCAAATGATTGTACATTTCCCTTTACTCACATGTCAGAAAGACTTTTCATCCATTTTATCTCTGTAACATTCATTACTCACGGTCTCCATGGCAGTACAGTGCCCCAACACTGTAGTGCGCTTCTGAACCGGTGCGGTTAGTGTCTCCTATGACAATCCTCCTGACAGGCAGGTGGTCTCGGAACGACAGGTAGCCCTTATCTGAGTGCCTGGTGAATAGAAATTAGCCTTTAAAATAATCAATTCATATTTAGCTTGAACTTATACACTACTGTTCAAAAGTTTAGGGTTGATTAGATTTTTTTTTTCAAGTTTTTGAAGGAATTCTCTTATGCTCACCAAGGCTGCATTTATTTGATAAAAAAATACAGTAGTAATGTGAAATATTAGTACTGTTTATAATAACTGTTTTCTATTTGAATATATTTTAAAATGTAATTTATGCCTGTTATGTCAAAGCTGAATTTTCAGCATCATTACTCCAGTCTTCAGTGTTACATGATCCTCCAGAAATGATATTAATGTGTTGATTTGGAGCTTTGGAAACATTTCTTATTATTGCACTGCACTGCTTAATTTTTTAGAGACTGAGACACATTTTTTTCAGGATTCTTTGTTTAATAGAAAGTTCAAAAGAACAGCATTTATTTGAAATTCTTTCCAAAAAAAAATAAAAAACCTTACTGACACCAAACATTTAAACAGTCATGTATATATATAGTATAGTACAGTATATAAATAGTACATGCATAGTGCAGTTCCCTGAGGTCCATTTATTTTCTATCTTTAATAATATAAAACACCACCATACAGACATCATAAAAGGCATGCTTAGATAATAAAAACATTTTTTTCATTTGTTTATTCATTCTCACCATTGACGGTAGTCTGCGTCACAGTTGCACCAGTACTTGGAGTCAGTGCAAGTTTGATTGACAGCACATCCACATTTCCCACTTTCAGGGAAAGCTCCTCCCCAGTATTCATGACTCTCATTATGCCGACCAATCCAGTAAGTGTAAGGCCGTCCATCTGTTTACAACAATAAATAAAACCAAAGAAACACTGCATACCTATTGTAGGCAAGCCAGTCTCACAAAGCAGGGGACCATGACGACTGAGCCCTACTACTACGTAAACTCATTTGAATGGTAAAGGCTGACTGATACGATTCCTATAATTACTCAGCAGAGAAAAGGGCTGAGAAGGTCAGTGACACTAATTATGTTCAAGTTCCTGGCAGTTCAGCTGAGTCAGACCATCTAGTGTTTTTGCACTGATTCCCCTAAGATCCTAGCTAAGATCAATACTTCAACAGCTATCTAAAATTCACAGCTGTAGTTCCTTCTTATTCTACTATGCTATATTTTAGCTACATAGTGATGGCTGCTTATAGAGTACACTGTAACGCAACATTTAAATACATTCATTTCTACTGTGGAATGCTAAAGGTTTTTGAAGAACACACTGTCCACTCTTTTCAATATAATAAAAGTGAATTAGGATTGGGGATGTCAAGCACCAAAATAAAAAAATAAATGCAATTAAAGAAGAAGAAGAAGAAGAAGAAACATCATAAATGTATCATTATTCCCTGTCTTTTCAAGGCATAAGTCATTACTAACTCAAATACTCTACTTACTATGTACCTCTAGTGAGCTGTCAACTGCTATGACTAGATTTTTGAATCAGCAAGTTTGATCACCAGACCAGTTTGATTTGTGAACAAATTATTCAGACCAGTTTTGTGTACTGCATTAACCGATTCATTGAAAAGATCCAGTTAAAAAATATAATTCGTTCATGAATTGGTCATTGCTAATTGCCTCACGAATGCTGGTGATTGCAAGAGATTAAGCATTTCAGTGGATAATGAGTTAATAATGAGGATTTCAGTGGATAATGAGTTACATTTTACACTAAATATTTCATATAGCTACAGAATGCAGGAGTCGTATATGGACTAATCACATACTTAGAGTTGCTAGGATTGTCTTCAGAAAGTCACATTTTGAGAAGCACTGATTAACCTCATACGGGTTTGGAACATGAGGGTAAATCAATTATGACAGAATTTTCATTTTTGGGTGAATTATCCCATTCATTTCAATCACTGGCTATAAATGACCAAGGATATTCCACATTCTGATTTCCACCTGTCATTGTTCAAACTTTTTAACTTACGTGGAGTATTGAGGAGGCGTGACTTGTAGCATGAGAACTCAATCCACTGTTCGCAGTATAAAGACGTGTTTGCTAGGGCAGTGACTTCATCCCACGATGCATTTACATACTGGAGGTCCCCAATATACGGTCGATCCATGGTGGAGCCACTCACTTTGGTGCTTTTCATGCGGTTGTGCTCAATAACAGTCCATGATTTTTGCACTAAAAATATTATAGGATAAACCTCAGCTTGTTGTGAAAAATCATTCTAAATTGCTTTCAACACGTCAATCTGTTTTGCTTCATACATACACATATTGCAGTAGACCGTGAAAGGCTTCAGTGGTCCGCTCAGATCTGGATCTATGGTGTAGTTGCCTGACCAGTACTTCCCATTCAGTCTGTAGGCCTCACATGACTCCCTGTAGACCGCTGAGATGATGAGAGAGAGACTTAATTCTCATGTTTCACCAACAAAAAGTCAATACAGAGGAATCTCCTCAATAAAGGACACTCACAGTTATGACAAACTTCCCCCTTGTAGCCGGTGTTGTTACACACACACAGGAAGTCATTCCAGGACTGAATACACCTGCCTTCATGTTCACAAGGGTTTGGACTGCACCTGAGAAAAAAACAAGAGACGGTCGACATTTTAATAATGCACGTCTCAAGATATTACCTGTCATGTTTTCTTGTCAATACTGTTGTTGCATATTGTTCAAAATATGATTTGCAGATGACACTAATATGAGATGAATCAACCTGAGAGTTATATTCTCAGATCAAAACCAGAATACAAATTTATATTCTGTTTTTTTTTATTCATCTTATGATTTATCAGTGATTAAATCCATCTTGTTTTTCTCCTTTGTGAGGCTTTGTTTCTCCTTTATGAGTATTTATATGATTGTATGTTTGTATTATTGTTATTAATATTTTTGACAATAACTGACACTTTGAAAAAACATTTTTTATTTGTATTTTTATTTTGTAATCCAGTACATCTTATATTTTCGTAAATCAAGATACAATAACTTGTGAAAATATTAATTCATAATTTCTAAAAATCTATCAAAATTAAGTGAGTTTATGTTTAAAACAAGAAAAAAAAATCTTTCTGTAGGGAAAGAAAAATAAAGTTAATTCGAAGGCACTTACTGTTCTACCCCACTGACAGATTTTTTCTTGTTTCAGATCATTCTGATTTGTTTCTCAGAAAACAAGACTAAAGAAGTCATTCATAGCTTCTAAAGTAAATCTATATTGATTTAGGAATGTTTAGATATTTGTACTGGTGTCAAATAGTATCAGAATCCTTTTTTTTTTTTTGCATTTTCATTTTTCTTATGTTCATCCTGATTGCCTATTGCAGATTAAGACATTAGACTTTGACGTAAGAAATAAACACTAAACTTATATCCCACACATGCATGCTAGTTTTCAGATCATGGTGGTGACTTCCCATTGATATATATTGTTGTTATAGAGCTGAGCTACTGATATGTCCTACAAGTATACTTGACTCCTACAGAAGAAGAATTTTGTATTTTACATGCTTCTATAATTGCGAGGACAGTGTTGGCAAAACCCACCCACACAAACACACACCTATCAGTGATTCCGCAGGTGCCCAGCAGGATTTCGGCATATCTGCCCCATTTCCTCTGCAGCATGACATCTATATCCACCGGCTCATCATCTATAAAGATCTGCTGCATGCAGCCATGGAAGCGAGACAGCTTGGTCACACAACGTGCCGTGTTATTGGTCTTAGGACAACCTGCAGCACATCAGACACGAAAAATGTACTGTATCTAGTTATCTGCTATGCAACTGAAAGGCATTTAGTATAGATTATAAACATTAGTGTAGCATTTATGGCGTGTGCATATTTATGTATAACAGATGAAACATGCATACTATTGCAAACATTAACATTGTTGCACAGTAATTTTTGAGGCAGTTTTACAGAAGAGTGTCATTGCCATTGAATCATAACAGACTAATATTCTGTTACTTACCCCCGAAGAAATAGCGGTCTCCTGTACGAACCATGAAAGGGTTGGTAATCTTCAGTGGTGAGCTTTCATCTTCATCTATAGTGATAGTTAATAAGTTGTCTTTGGCAGTCAGGTCTACTGTGTGCCAGAAGCCGTCATTGAGACGGTACCCTGAGACAAGACAAAATAGGATAATATTTACTGTACTGTATATAATATTTCATCTGGTGTTGGTTCTGCTAAACTCTTGGTCTTAAATGGCTCTATTCAGTCCTCTCTTATAGAAACAGAGTTCAAAATGTCATAACGAAAACTATGGACACAATCCTCAATCATACCTGCAGCGAAGCGTAATCTTTTGTTTCCAGGCTGCATTAGGGTGATGTTGACTTGTCCTTCGCTGAGGCCCAGCTCCAGAGAGCCCAACTCATCTGCAAACCTGGTGAACATCAATAAGCCTGTGTAGTCCCATGAGCGAAACTTAAACTTCACTGCCAGACGGTTCTTCCGGAAGAAGCCGGGGAGCTGCAGGTAGTTGTTGGGTCCTGCAAAGGTCATGGGCTTCCAGAGGAGATCACGGCAAGTATAATGCATCTTTTTCTGAAGAAAGGCAGATGAGAAGATGGAAATATACATATCACAAATATTTTGCAAAAGCAATACAATGGTCATCCAAATGTGACATAATATGTGATTCTACATCTCTTAATAATTCACCCCACACTATGCTCTTGCTGTTGGTCGTGTGAATTTTAGGAAATCTCAACATGCCTTTTTAGGAGCTAGTCGAATTTCAGGCTCCTGGTATTGTGTCTTGTAGATGATATTGATTCCATTGATAAAGACGTTTTCCATGCAGCCACGGAAGTTAACCTTACCGGGCAGATGGGGCACGTCTTTCTCAATCACGCCGCCAACGTAAATCTAAAGAGAAATGGATAATTGCTGTGATCAGGATGCAGGGAACATTGATTCTTCATTTAAATCTTCTGAACGAATGCGAGTCATTTAGTGAAGTGTGCATTAATAGTCTATGTGTTTAATCCAACACAACACCTGCTTGTCCAGATCAAGGTACTGGAACTCTCCATTGAGGACAGCAGTCTCAGTCTGGCTGTCCAAGGTGAAGTTAACCTCTCGTCCGTAGCGCTTGATGGTGACATAGTGCCAGTGCTGAGTGTCCAGCAGGTTTCCCAGCATCATTGTGGTCATCCCATTGGTGTTATGGACAGTGCTACTCCCTGAAAAAGAGCAGAAATACATGTCCTGTGATTGTAGATAGATAGATAGATAGATAGATAGATAGATAGATCATCATTACCCAGGCTGATATGTAAGTAGAGGCGTCCAATCTTCAGCTCTAGAGTGATGGAGTCTCCCTGCAGACCTTCACTGTGCAGGAGAACACCATCCTTTTCCAAGGTCTTAAAGTTTAAAGCGTAGTGGTCCTGAAGTGTCCTCATCCTGCCAC